CTGGGGGGGGGCGGGGGGCAGGAGAGGGGGTTGGTGGGATGGGGTCAGCCAGGGCAGGGGCCTCAGGGGGGCTTCTAGGAAATGGGTTTGAGGTGGGGCAAGAGGCACCTGTGCGCTCGTGTGGATGCGCCCAGCCAGTCCAGAGAGAAGGCAAAGGTCACCTTTCCTTGCACACCTACCCACAACTTGTGTTATGTTCACCCAGACCCAAGGTACTGGCCTTGTATTTTAATGCTAGCACAACCCTATTTTAGAGACATAGCCAGTGGTAGAATCTATAGCATTAAATATATGCCCCCCATAAAAATGCCTAGTTATTTTTACCACCTGTTACCACCATTTTAAAATCCATCCAAACATTTTCTGCAAGCCACATTTAACCAGAGCAGGACCTGCTTGCATACGGCCTTGCATGCACTAGAATTCACAGGTGCATTTGTTGGCACTTTAAGAGAGGCTGGAAGATTCAAACGTGAAACGTGTCAACATGCAATGTCATAAGATGTCCAAACACAACTAGGCCACCAGTATCATGTCAGAGGCATGCCTTGTAAGCTCAGGCACAACACAGGCTGCTACAGTCCTACAATGGCAGCCCTTGTGGTGGTCACAGATTTGAAAAGATCATGGATACATACGCCTTTGCCTTGGTACAGGTGCATACTCTGGGTGCATGGCTGTTTTGGGGAGCAACATCCTGTCCCATCAGATGTCCTTGATTACGTGGGGGCTACCAACTCCTGAAATCCTGATTTATTCCTTAATCAGGCAAGCCTCACACTAACCTAAATCAACAGAGAGCCAATGAGGCCTTTCGGATCTGACTACAGACCAGCAAAAGTGCAAGGCTCACTACAGGAGGATACTTAAGGATTCATGGAAAACACATGCAAGGTTTGCTCCAAGCAGCTCTGGCGACTGCTGCTGCCTCTTCCCAGTCTAACTTTGGACAATTCCCTTCTAGGCTGGTGCAGTGTCCTGCAGTGGGTGATGTAGGACAATCTCTCCTTCCACACCTTGATGTGATTATACTTTTAGAAAAAGGAAGGCTGCCCCAGTGCTCCCCAAGCACAATTGCCCAAAGGAAGAAAAGGTGCCAAGGGGACTCCAGGAGCATCACAGCCACCCCTGTGGCAGGACCCTATTACAGGGCCCATCATTCTAAGTCATAAATAATGTCTCCCAGGCCAGTTGAGACCTCCACCATCCCTACAGTCTCAATCCCTAAACCGCTGGTCTTGCCTACCCCCACTCAGGTGTTAGTCAGGAGCCTTGCTGCAACCCTTCTGCTCTGGAACGCCTTTCTCCATGGCTTCCCTAGACTTATAACCTGCAAGCCCAGCACCTTTTGGGTCATGTGGCACCCTCGATTAGCTTCTGCCTCACCTGCAGCCTGCCTTCCCTTAAGGTAGCAGGAGCACCAAGTTCCCAGCTACAGACCCTCTGAACTATACTCACTTCCACCTAAATGCATACATAACCGAGAGAGAATGATGATATATGCCACATTAGAGCCTGAAACAAACTTTTTTTTTCTAGGCAGGGTATGCAGGAGTAGGCTAGCACAGCAACCCCTATTTGTAGAAATGAATGAAGCCACTCCTGTGACATCTCCGGTGTTTATTTATATACCGCAGCCTGGTCTTAGAGCTGGTTGTATGTGGCACCGTTCCCTTAAGCATTAGGCAGAACTGGGAAACCGGCAGAGCTCTTTTTTTTTTAACCTGCAGGGCTTGAAATTAAGAGCTGTACTAATCCAAACACTAATTTCCCACAGACATTGTGCCATGGGGTATCCAATTCAGGATTCAACCTGTGACCCAAGCCATTCAAGTTCTGTTGGCTTCGTGATTTATTTGCGTGTTCCACTTTTGTGCCTATCATCTTCACCTTCATTAGCAGCAATGATTTGCTCTGGCTAATGAAAGAATTTGGTGAGAATCCAAGAACTAGTGCAGAGGGAAAAGCCAGGTTTGTTACTGAAAAGATGTAGGCTCTACTGGGTAGAGAAGGGATCCGGGAGCTGGGAAGCATCCAGGAGGGTAGACAGCTTAGGGTCTTAAGCAGTGAACAGAACTGGGTTAATGAGAGGCCCCTGGGAAATCATTCCTCCCTTCTGTGCCCCAGTACCTCATCTCCTGGCTGTGTAAAATTAGCACTCTCTGATTTGCTAGAGATTTTGTCAAAACTGAGCTCCTTTGCTTTTCTGTATTCCTGGAACTGTTCCTGTGCTGGTCAAACCAGTTCTGTATTTGGCTGGAGAGTAGGCAAGATCATCAAACATGTTAGTTCTGGCCTTGTCCACTGACAGTGCTTTGGTGTTTGCTGAGAAGAGGCTTCCAGCCATTCTTTCCCTCCTTGCCTGTTTTTTTTTTCCAAATAGACTTCTGTAGAGTTCACCTGGCATAATCAAACAGAAAACACCCTTGTAATCAGGCCAACAAATAGTATTTATGATTTACTACAGATCATCTCCAAATTTGTCCCACCAGTAGTTGGCTAACCTTGACTTCTCCCTGCCAGTTATGATTATAAAGGGCTTTTAAACTCCTTGAGGTAAAGATTAGGTTTGTATAGTATCTACCACAGTGCCCCATCCCTCCCCTGTCCCCCAGCCTAGCTGTTGTCCTGGAGCATTACTGCATTATGGAATCTGGAAATCTGGCAAATGCATTTATAAACCTCATAGGAAAAGAACAATTTTCAAAGCTGGAGACAAAAGACATTTTGGCTTTGGTTTGGGCCCATCTCTAAATGCAGCATGAATGGTGATCACGTGCGTAGTGGCTGGAGCATGACGCGATTGTTCAGCATGGCAGCGCCTTGCAGGTTTCTGCTGTGCTCCCATGAAACTGGATCCCTTGCAACTGCCCTTGGGCTCTGTTATCCAAGAGGTTTAACTGAGTCCACCTTTAATTAACATAGCAGGCAGGAACAAAAGTCCTCTGTGGAGCAGGAAGAAAGGGTAGGCAAGGAACAGGACTCCCTTCTGGCATCTGCCATAGACTTAACATCCCGGGCAGGGAGATGGGAAGCAGATTCCCGTGGAAATTAACCCCTTGGGATTGACCTCTAGTGACCATTCATCGGCCACCGGGGAGCAGCCCAACACTTGCACGGTGTTAGAGGTGCTCTGCCCGCAGGGTGGCCTGCGGAAGCTGCTTGATACCGGTTTGTATTCCACCGCCCTTTCCCCTCCTGCTTCTTTCCCCTCACACCTTGGGGCTTCTCCTTTTCCCCTTAATGCCTGAGGTGGGCACTGGCTTGCAATTGTCCTTGGTTGAGCCCTGGGGGACACTGATCCGAGCAGATGTCTCAGGGCCACGAGACAGGGTAGCTCTGGCAGTCTGCAGCACCTCTCCCCCGCAGAACTGCCTGCAACATCCCTCAGGACCTATTGTCACTTGGCCTCCATACAGCCACAGGCTACGTACAGCCACATGCGTCCTAAGCACTCAGAGTCGCTCCAGCCGCCTGCCTCCCTTATGGTCAGACACCGATCCCCTCTACACAGTCTCGTTCATCACTTGCCTCCTGCACAGTTACACCGGTCCTCAGGCTGCAGCAATACAACCCATTCTGTCGGTGGGAAACTGCCCAGTATTTTCCAGCTGATGCTGAGAACAGTGAAAATACGGACTCCCCAGCTTATTTCCCACTTCAAAGCAGCTGCCTCTGTTCCTATTTCAGGTACACTCCAGTGATCCATCAACCCCCAAAAAGGGGCATGGGGAGGAGCCCTGAGCCCCTCATCTCATTGCCATGGACTCTGAAACAGAAGACCCATCACATGGGATAGCGGAGACGGGTTGATCCAACTTCAAGCAATGCTTTAGCAACCCCACACCTCCTCATGCCCATCACAGCCTAGCCGGCAAGCGGTATAGTAGAGGCCCATGTTTCTGGGACATTGCTGACACTCTGCATGTTTTCATGGTTGGCCCCATGTAGACATTCAGCAGTCTTGGGATGAGAAAGATAAAGATGGTTTAGTTGCATTAAGAGCACCCCAGGACCCTGCAATGCTCCATGCTAGACAGACACGCAGCCCTGCCTGAGTCGGGGGCTTATTTTGTTTTCTCTATGGGCTTTTGAGCGGAGAGAGTTAAATGCAGGAGTAAAAGCAGAGTGATGGGGAGGGGGAGCAGAAGCAAGCAATGGGCAAACATACTCTTTTGACACAGCAGGCCAAAATCCTGGTGGACTTACTGCCCCCCTGAGCCCCAGCAGGCTCCATGGAGCATGAGCCAGCCAAGAGCCTGGGCCCACCGCCTGTCCTGGGGCTCCTCGGCCAGCCTGGCACTTCAGGCTGCTACAGCAGGAGCAGCACCGGGTCTGCTGCTTGCGCACAGATCAGGCAGGAGAGGCTGACAGCTCCGTACTGAGGCAGGGTCTGATTGGGGGCTGGGAGGTGGGAAGCGAGCCAGGGGAGGCAAGAAGACAGCATCAGGCAAGGCGATTGAAAAGAAGGAAATTACAGCCCTTAAACACTCCCAGAAACAAATTCCTGATGTAAATCTTCCTCTAGGAAAAAAAAAAGAGTGATTTGACATCGTGCCTCCTTCCTCTTTCACCCCTCTTGCCCTACTCCCTCCATCCATCCCCTCCATCCACAGCACACACACATCCCATAGCCAACCTGTGCACACACGCGCACGCACACATACACACACACACGCTGAAATTAGTTGTGACAGCTGAAATTCTCCGCTCATCGGACGACATTTGACAGGGTACTTAAAAAAAGAAGAAAAGGGAAAGTGGTTTGGTGTCGCATGGGGGAGGCGGAGGGGGGTGGCGGGT